CTGAAGAAGTCTCTTGGAGGAGAGACGAAACGTTTCACTAAAAATGAACCCATCCAGAGGACCTACTTAGTTTTTCTTTTTGATTCCTGAAAATATTTATTCATTATATTAATCTGGCTCGTTTCCACAGGCGTTTTTATTCYTGTAGAAATAACAGCTCACTTTCCAGAGCAGGCTCATAATTGTTTCAGACGGAGGGGAGGATTGGCAAAATCAATTAGAAGAATGTGAAGAACCTCGGAGACTCGTCTTCTGGGTCTTTTGCCCCTCTTTACAGCCGGCCTCAGATGACCAGTCACTTCCAACAGAGCGGTCACGAGCTGGTAAATGATCACGACCCAGGTCGAGTGCGAGGCCAAGCGAGGATTGAACCGAGCGATACAAAAGCTATTAAAAAAAAAGAAAGCGTATAATTTGCAGACTTCCCACAGAATGGGTGGGAACACTTTGGATTCCTTGAAGATAAGCAAATTCTGATAAAGCCCCGGCTCGGCGGTAAAAATTAGAAAATCAAGCAACCATTTACTTAATTTCTCACTGCTCACTCCTGCTGTTATCTCATATGGAACTTGCGGTGAAATCCTAATCAGTTTTCTTTCAGATTTCAGCTCCTTTTTGCCACTTCTTCCTATTACCACTGACTATCGCTACAGATAACACCCTCTCCGTAAAATCAGAGATAATGCAGGAAGATAACTCTCCGTTATTGTCGAGGTGGAGCCGCCTCAGCGTTTGATGCTTGACGGTTAAACCTCCGAAGCACACAGACTTCTGTTTTGTCATGAAGACAGAAACAGTGTGGTGAACTCCTTTGTTCTCTTCATGAATAACCTTCCTTCCTTTTTTTTTTTTCGGGGTCACGTGTCTCTACAGAGAGAGAGAGAGGTTTTTTTTTTTGACGAGCGGAGATTTGTTTACGTGCACCCAGTGAACCGCAGGAGGGATTTCATAAGAAATTCGTTGCGTATGAGTCAGGTAGATAATTCAGCTCCCACGTCCACATGCTGATGCGTAGGCATCACTGAAGAGGCTGCGACAGCTCGCTCGCTTTTTGTTGTCCAGATTTTGTTTCTCTCTCTCTCTCTTTCCTTTTTTAAGTTTGTGAAGAGGCAGTTTGGGTGGGCTGAGAACTGCAAAGGTTCAGGGTTTTTTTTTTTTTTTTTTTTTTGTCAGCCTCAGCTGCATCTCACTGGCAGAAATGTGTTGCGGCTCGTTTTCTCAACTGTGGAGTCGTATAAAAGCTTATCAAGCCTGAATGTGTGTTTGGTTTAAACGTTTTTATAGAAGCTAAAAGTTGGGTTCGCATGAATGGGCAAGCTTTAGAGCCGCAGACCTGAGTTGTGGAGTGTGTATGTGGCGAAATGAGGACTTCGTCTAGACTGATCAATGACATTGTTTACCATMGTTGACATTTTCATTTATTGCTCATGGATTTGAGACATATTTTCTCCTAATAAGGAGCAGGAAATGACCCTTCGTCTGCTTGTATTTTTATATTTTACTGTTATATACCTGTAATCATCCAGTTAGCCGTAATGAAACATGAGCTCTGCCCTTTTGAGTTCCTCATTTCTTACTTCACCAATACACGGCTGTTTATTGTGTCGACAATAGAGTTGGGATGCATTTTCAGCTCTTTATGAAGTAGCTTTGGCAACAAAAATATATAAAAAGAAAGAACAAAAAACCAAAGCAATGTTGTGGTYTTGTCAGAATGTTATTTCAGGCGCTGCATGTTGTCATTATCTCATATTTTAGGCCTGGCCGTGGCTCTGCAGCTCCTCCACGGGGACATCGAGCAGCTAAGGCGGGAGTACATGGGCCTCTTCACCCGTGGGGTGTGCATCACCAGGAAACTGGGCTTCTCTGACATCATCATGCCAGGTATGAAAATGTATGGAGGACCGAAACTGACATAATTAGAAATAAAAGCAGTACTATATAAAAGGACCAGTAATTAAATAAATGCACCTAAAATGCACCAATTAAATTAAAAAACTGAACTTTGCCTCGTGTTTTATAATTTAACTGACCTTCATATTTATTTTTCCAACTTTGTTCCAATAAATAATATATTTTAGCACATAATTTACATTTTAGTTCTAAAATATATCCTTTTACTTGGTGTCTCTTAAATAATTTTTTTATCATTTTTCTCTCAAGTCTTTTTATTTCCATGTGTTGTTTTTACATTTCTCTGTCTCCTGTATTTACGTTATCCTATACATTTCTGCCTCATTATGTAAATAATGTGGGCGGAGCTTCGTGGGTCAGCTCCTCTCCTCTCCTATTGGTCAACAGACAGGTTGCCTCAGTTTGGCCTAAAGTTTAAAGTTAAGTTAAAAACAAAAGCACAGGTAAGTGATTTCCTTCTTGCCTTTGTTTTTAAATAAACTTTAAGCTCAACCGAGGCAGTGCAATAGATCTGCACATGGTTCCTCCTCCTTCCTGTTTTTTGACCAATAGGAGAGGAGCTGACCCAAGAAGCTCCGCCCACCTTTTTAAGTGTTTTTAAGTGTATTTATTTATTTATTGGTCCACTTATACAGTATATTTCTGCTTTTTATTTCTAATTATGTCAGTTTTGGTCCTCCATAAAGATGCACATATTTCACTCACTGCTCTAAAAACAGGACCTTGCTTAAGAAATGCACTTCAGCAAGACCTGTTATAGTTACTTTGTGGTTTAAGTGCAAGGAATAAATAAACAATGAGCCACTTYCTTAACGGCTTGGTTCCAAGAAAATGGATATAAAATTAACATGAAACATCAAATTACGCTTTTCTCTTCCTAACTAATGTCGTATTTGGTTAGATGCACACTAAGAAGGATCTTACTTATAACATTTAACATGACCCTTTTGCAGTGGCGGATCTAGGATTTTTCTGAATAAGGGGCCATCACGGGGTCACAATATTCTTAGWGGGGCCAAGTATTTATTTAACATCTTTGTACACAAATCTCTGATTTTGAWAAGATGTATACATTTAACTAGTCACACATGTTCAAACACTTGTAATGTTATTCAAAAAATCTTGCCTGTATATTCTCCTTACAAGTTTTACATGTMTTTTTACTGTACATAGATCAAAAACACTCAAACACACAGCATCTGACTCATTAGCACCTCTAGTGTTTGAACATGGAACTGCACCCACCATCATTACTCTTGGGCAAAGGACAGATGAGTGACAGGACAGGGGCACTTCAGGGGGCCAATCAGACTTCAGCTGGGGCCAATGCCCCTGTAGCCCCGCCCCTAGAACGCCCCTGCCCTTTTGTAATGACACAGCTGGTTACACAAAGTTTATTTCTTACTTTGCCGACGTATTGGTTATATTTTTACACGCCATGTTTGCGTTTTGTCTTCGCAGCTAATTAAATTGTTCCATCTGTTCATTCTTTAGGCTGTTATTCATTTAGAGAATTTAGAGAATTTCCAGCACACATGGAGCTGGAGGGTGCCCTGTTCCGGGTCAGGAGACCGTCCCAAAAAAGAGAGAATTTTTACGACGTTTTGTGTCGATTTGAAAATAACATTTGAGTTTCTGTATTCTTTGTGGCTTTTCTGTTTCGTGTTTTATAATTTGACCCTCTGAAACCTCCTATATTTACATTTAGTAATATTGAAATTTCCATTTTGGGGAAGGCTCTCAGAAAGATGAAAAAAATTCACTTTGTGTTAGAAAAAACAAAACAAAAAGGAAAAAAAAGCTGCCTCTCTAAATGACACAAAACCCCACAGAGACCCTGAGGCTTAGCTGGTTGGGGTCTTGTTGCCTTGGTAATAAATGCACAACCACTTGGCTGGGAGATGAAACAGGAGACTAAACAGGTACATGTTCCCTTTTTTTGTTTTTACATATGTAGGAGGAAAAGCCCTGAGTGAATTTCCTTTTGGTCTGGTTTCTGAAAGCAGGACATTCATTCACATAAAAGCAGATTTTTTTTTAAATAAACCTGAAATCCTGTCTGGTGTGTTGAATAAAGAGAAGCGCAGACTGTGCCACCCCAGGGCCTCACTAACACAGATTTATGTTCACCATCTCTCCCATTGTCTTTGTCTGGCTACAAACCCTTAACGCTGAGTGCTCTCACTCCTTCTGCTGGTGTAAGTCTCCCCCTTGGGCAAAGAAAACATGCTCTGCTTTTTTTTATAATGCTCATTTTCTAGATTTAAATCTGACCGACTGTACATTTTTTCTCATTATCTTTTGCACAAACTCGTATTTTTTCCATTTCTCAAGCTTCTTTACCACCTCCTTGTCTACTTCCTGTGTTTCTATTGTTCTAGACATGAAACAATGTCCCCGTGCGTTTCGACCTTCCTGCTCTGTGTGTGTCTGTATAAGTGTGTGAAGTAAGCGAACAGTACAGGTTTATATAGAAGGCTTCAAGTTGCCATGGTTTCTGTTGTTGCACACAGAAAATCAATGTTGACCCTTGAGTAGAGATATGATGAGCGCAATCACACACACACACACACACACACACACACACGCTGTGAGGTTTAGAAGTTCCTAGTTTTACAACGTCTTGAAGCCTGGCTGTAGAGGAAACAACCCTTTCCTGTTCTCTACCCAGCATGCCTTGCACAGTTGGTGCTTCATCTGCAGAAGGAAATAAATGTAAATGGTGTAAACAACCGTCCCGGGGGGTAGGTGTTAAAWTATGTAACCCATGAAATCAGACACCTGTTCGAGAAGCAAAGATGCCATCAGCTGCAACTAAAATGTTTTTATGTAAACAGCATGCCCATATATGGGAAAAATCCCATTTCCTGTTAATAGAGCTGGGCGATATGATCAAAATTTTATATCACGGTATTTTCAACATTTTCACAGGTTTCACGGTATTTGAC